CAGTACAGGTTGGGGGCTGACCTCCTGGAGAGCAGCTCTGTGGAAAGGGACCTGGGAGTCCTGGTGGACAACAGGATGACCATGAGCCAGCAATGTGCCCTGGTGGCCAAGAAGGCCAGTGGCATCCTGGGGTGCATCAGGAAGAATGTGGCCAGCAGGTTGAGGGAAGTCATCCACCCCCTCTACTCTGCCCTGGTGAGGTTGCATCTGGAGTACTGTGTCCAGTTCTGGGCTCCCCAGTTCAAGAAGGACAGGGATCTGCTGGAGAGGGTCCAGCAAAGGGCTACAAAGATGATGAGGGGATTACAACATCTCTCATATGAGGAAAGGCTGAGGGACTTGGGTCTCTTTAGTGTAGAGAAAAGAAGACTGAGGGGGGATCTTAGTAATGCTTACAAATACTTAAAGGGAGGGTGCCAGTCTGGATGGGAACAGTCTTTTTTTCAGTGGTGCTCAGTGACAGGACAAGAGGTAACGGGCACAAACTTGAATATAGGAAGTTCCATCTTAACATGAGGAGAAACTTCTTTACTTTGAGGGTAGTGGAGCAGTGGCACAGGCTGCCCAGAGAGGTTGTGGAGTCTCCTGCTGTGGAGACATTCAAAACCCGCCTGGATGCCATCCTGTGCAACCTGTTGTAGGTGACCCTGCTCTGGCGGGGGGGTTGGGCTAGATGATCTCCAGAGGTCTCCTCTGACCTGACGATTCTGTAATAGACACTGATTGACTAGATGCTATCATAAGCTGGATGCTTCAAGATCTTGTTCCAAATCTCTAGGATCTTGAGATATTTGAAACCACAGCGAATCTGCTGGCATCTGAAAATAGGTTGAAGAGGCTTGGGTTATGACCCAAAGGGTCTGATTTTCATCTGGTGTATGGCACAACTAAATGTGAGTGACTTTGTTCTAGTTGGCAGTGAGGCAGAAATAAGACTTCATGAAAGCGAAGGAAAAGTACAACTCAGTGCAGGGTATGATGGAAAAATATTTATTTTACAGTCTAAATAAAATGAAAAATTAAACTAAGTATGCTGATAAACCTAATTTGCTGCACATGAAAAATTACAAACTTTTAAGCATGTTATTAGCTGAATGCTTAGTTCCCCAACTAGAATTTCAAGGCAAGCAAATGGGAGTAACTTTCAAGATGATTTGTTTTTAAGCTGCAGATGATCCCTGTACTAATTTTTGCTTTCTCCTTTTTTGTTGCTACATCATACCTGTGAAACATGTTTAGTAATGGCTGTTTGAAACATATCCATTTTCTTAAGTGACTTTTTTTTTGTACCTTGATTATTAATGATATGGTCGTCATTGTAGCTTTTTAAAAAAGCCTCTGCTCTTGACTGAATTAGGAACATTTAAGAGTGGATCAGTTCCTGTTACTTGGCTTCAGTTACTCACTGCCAAGTGACAGATGCAGGAAACTGAGGAGAATGACTTAGCTGTGATGTGCTTTTGCTTGCATGAGATGACCTGTGCCATCAGTGACTGAAATCTGGCAACTTGGCAAGTGACCTCTACTGTTTGTTGTTAGGAATTCTACAGGTTCCTTAATACAGGCTCTTGCAAATGGACTTTTATTCATTTGTAAATCTAGTTAATTGCAGTTTGAGTAAATTTGTTTTGTTGTGGTCTCTTTTTTAAATCTTTGCTTCTGTTTGCAAAACAGATTGAATCGTTAACACCTGGCATTCTTTTTTTTCCTATAAGGAGAGGAGGAAGTAGAAATGAAAAGCAAGAAGGCAGTGTTCAGTTGGTTATATGTACCCAATACTGCAGGGAAGATGATTACATTAGCACTTCGCAGACAGTGCTTTTCCTTGTACGAAATTACTAAAGTATCAGAGGGATATATGAGGCTAGGTGAGAGATTCTCGGGCTGCCCTATCATGAATGACAGGAGAGGTAACACATGCATTGAGTCCCTGGCTTAGAAAATGAAGTCATGCAAATACACCATTGTCTTGAACAAGCCTCTTAAACTTTCATTGAGTGGAAAAGGAAACTGTGAATGCCTCCTTGCCTCCCAAAGGTCTTGTATAACTGTGAATCAGGCATTTTGGATGCAAGGCAGCACAGCAGTTCAACTTGGTGCTGAAAAGTGAATTGGTAAAAGATTAGATGACAAAGAGCTCTCTTCAGTTCTCCTTACATCCTCACTGTTGTAGGGGCTTTGCAGGTTGTTAGAGAAACTCAATTAGCCTTGCTGTAATCTAATTGTGACATTTGACATCGTAGCACCTCAGAAAAAGCATAATTGATAGAGTTGAGCAAAATGTTCCTTGGAATCTGGCTCCATCTCTGATTACGCTTTGAGGTATCAGGCTGTGAGGTGTAAAATGTGGCAGGACTTTGCGCTTCCTCTATATCCAGAGGTTTGTTCTTGTCCCTTGGCAGCTTGTCCTGATTTAGTTGAAGCCACTGCCCTTGGATGAATGGACAAAACTACTGGGCAAGTGCATCTTTCAGCCTGTGGCTCCTGCCTGCCTACAGGCTTAAAAACAGTAATGTGCCTGCTGGTGCACTACTTTAGTCCAAGTGCATTAAGCAGGAGTTTGGCCTTGCAGATGACTCTCATCGTGACTGCTGTTATGAAGCTAGTCTAACTTGAGCTTGTCATGATGTGGTAACTGGTCTGTGTTTCAGCGGTTAAATCTATGTGTCTGTAGCATTGTTGCTACCATAGCAAGGCAACTGCTAAGCCATCATTGTGGCTTCATCTCATCATGGAAGAGTGACCGTGTGTACTCCCTAACTTCAGAGCAAACTCCCATTCCTAACTCAGTTTCTTCATCTTCTCTGAAGTACACTGTTCTCTCCTATTTCTAGAGTGCCTGATTTTTCATATTATGCCAAATATAAATTGCACAGGGTGTGGCTGCATGGACAAGCGCCCATGAGCTCATCTAGGGAGTGGCTTTGTAGTATGTTAGCTCCTTCATGGTAGTTGACCATATGGGTATTCAATGCAGCAATAAATGTGAGGTATGTATGTGCCTTTTTCTGTATGAATAGAACATGGTTGGACAGCTAAAAACAAAGTCCAAAACTTGCTTGTTCATCTTGTTTAGTGGAGAGTGCTTAGGAAGACACAAATTGACCCTTTAAAGAAAATTGCTTCCAGATAAATCTCTCTACTTCTGTAAGGGAAAGAAGGTTGGTGTGTGCTTCTAAATATAATAATTTTCTTACGGAAGAGCTTGTTGCCCCAGGAAATATTTTTGCAGTCTAATTCAAAGTAATTTGCAGAGAGCATATTTAGCTTGCACAGGCAGAGGAATAATGTTAAGCTTCTGGTGATTGGTACAGGCAATGGCAGAGGGCTCCAGAGAACTTGCTCTTTCTGAAGCATCAAAGGGGCAGTCTGTCATCTTGATTATTTCCTCTGGCTTCTCCAGCTCTACTGAAATGGCTAGCGAGTTTCCCACTGATGCCTAGAAGACCATCACAGGTAGCTGGGGTTATCAGCTCTAGTGGCAAAAACCTCAGAAAGGCTCTCTTGGCAGGAAGTAAGGGTGGGAGTGCGCTGCCTCCCCTTGGGGGCCAAGGGCTGTTCCTCACCTATAACCAACCACATTTGAGTTTTGCTATGTTTCCTAAGCCCTCAAGGGATTTGCCTATTTGTTAGACCTCCTTCTTCATAGACAAACAGCTCGCCCAAAAAGCAGGGGGGAATTTATCTGAGGAGGATATTGCAAGTTGAGTCTGAAGGAAACAGGGCTACTTATGTTGACCAGCTATCAGTTTGGGATTTTTACGTTTTTTTTCTGATATAGTTCATGTTAACAAGTAGCTAGTATTTCACATACATTCATGTAAGTCATCTAAGCACATTTGTTGACTGTTACTGGGAAACAACTGCTGTTGTCCAGAGCTGGCTGTTGATCACATCCTAAGTCAGACTTTGTCCTCACTTCAGAGCTTGAAAGCAATAGCAGTTGAGTTATGATAATACCTTATGGCAGGGTAAGATTAATTTCAGCAGAATGGAAATCTCAAATCAAGCAGATAAAATGTGGGGTATTTATCAGAAATTAAAACGTGTGCAAATTTACAAAAGAATTTACTGATAAGACGCCTGCTCATCTATCAGCTATATATGTGCTAAGAGAACTGAAATGTTAAAATGGCTTTTATTTAAATTTGTACTGGTCTGTGAATGAAGTTTACTTCTTTAAACAACTTATGTTTTGAGGTTTTAAGTAATATGTCTTCAAAAAGAGTGGGGGTATTTTCTTCTCAGTTTTATTGTGAGCCTTGACTATTGTATGCCACCTATAAGGCAGCTAATGAGGCCTGGGTGTAGCATATTTGGGCACATGACCTTCACCTGCCAATGGTCTGAGGTAGAGTTTTCCTCTGAGGAACACTTGTACTGTAAGTGTGGAGCAACACATGACCTTAATGAGGACCTTAAATGAGGTCTGTTTTCTGGCACTGCTTGGTGTTAGAGCTTCTTATTGCTGGCTTCCCTTGGTTGGGCACAGCTTAGGCATGCAGAGGCAGCATTTGCTTTCCATGGGAGGCTGGAGAGCTCTAGTGCCATAGCGGGGGTGAGCTCCAGCTTTCCCAGCAGTGCTGTGAGTGTGCTGCTGGGAGCTGAAACAGCCTCACACATGCCCTCTGCAGGGCAGCTGGGGAATTCGTTATATGCTACTGAATACTTTGAATGTTTTGGCATTACTCTGCTTTAAAGGAAGTGTTTTCAGTCAGCAAATTATATAAATAGGGTTTTGTGTAGGAAACCATAACATCCTGCCTACTCAATTGCTTCATTTAAGCACTCACAAAGTTCTCAAGCTGTTAAAAGTAGCTGTCATCTCTATCTTTTTACATCAGTGAGATTTCTCCAGTTGGCCACTTGAGTAACAAAGGTGGTTCTACGCCTTTGAGAGGTGGCTCCCCACGTGGATGCCAATGTCGTGCCTGGATATTGCTGGAATTGGTGGCTGGTGCCCATGGGATGTGGCTGGGCATGTGTGGTGGAGGAGAGGCAGTACGGGACTGACCTGTGGGGTGGGTAAGTGTAAGGGCTTCAGTAATGCCTTCCAGTGTGCTCACTTGGACTCAGGGAAGATCCTAGTCATTGTCCACATCTGCCGGCAGCCTCTGCAGTCGACAGGTTAAAATAGTCTTTGAAAGAAGTAAGCCTCTTAATTGAATTGTTCACCAGCTGGATTCCAGTGTATAGAAACTATTAGGATAAATGCATCTGGTAGTTCTGCCAGTATTGAAAAGGGGAAAAAGTATTGTTTAACACTTCTAAGACTCTAAAACCCTGCTTATAAAAAAATCCAAGTTGAAGTGCTCTGTCTCTTTGAATTGCATGTATGTGTTCTTGGTTCAGCTGTGTTTCAGGAGACTGGATCACAGGAAAAAAACACTCCCTTGTACTGATTTGTTCTTGGCTAGTGAGTACGCAAAACTTTCAAGGAGGACTGATGGTCCCTGTCCTTTCTGAGAATTGTTGCAGGAGGCTGAATCCCCATTTGCAGGGTAAAAAGGTGCTGCAATGTCAGAATAGGTCAAGAGATGTTTCAGAACAGTAGTTGTCATTTAAATCACTTGAGCAACAAGTTTTGTCCTGATTGTCTGAAAAAGAAGTAACTTTTTTCAAAGCTTCAAATATTGAGAGTTGTGCATTTAATTTTAACATTTTTACATAGATCAACAGTATATAAGAAATAATTTTAGCATCTTGAAGATGAGGTATGTTTACATAGAGAACTTAGAAAAAAGCTATAAGGGATTTGGCTATCCTGCTTTGGTGGCTGGTTTTCTAAAGTGGCATGGATGATATCCTAGTTCTCTCCTGAGTGAGAAATGGAGCTGAAACTCAAGATAAGCAATTCTTCTAATTATGTGTGCAAATATTGGCCTTTTTATTTTCTAATGTACTTAACAATACAATAATTTAGATCCAAAATGCTTAGATTACTTTAGATCTTTTTTCCTCCAACTTTCAGATTGCGAAGAAGACCCGAACCCCAACTTCTGGCCCAGTGATCACCAAGCTGATCTTTGCAAAACCAATCAATAGCAAAGCTGTTACAGGGCAGACCACTCAAGTGTCACCAGTCATTGCAGGTTGTACTACTTTGACTTGTTTTGCTTTACTGTTTTTTAAAGGCTGTTCAAAGACATGGTGATTTAGAAATTTTTCTGTCTCGATGATTTTACTGTAGTTTCTGTTGAAGTACCTAAAGTAATTGGAAAAAAGAAAACAGCAGAGTGTTGTGGGTAGAAGCAGATAAATGCAGTTGTTGGTACCTTAACACTTTGGTCATTTAGAATTACCTTTATGACTGTAGAGTTTGATCATTTTGCTTTTACTGTAAGATGCTTTTCCTTTTCTGCATTTTGGGGAGGAGAAAAAATACCTCCCAGCCAGAGAAAAGGCTACTTGATAAACAGAAAGTATTTGTACATATATTATATAAATACACAGGGGAAAAAGGAGACACATGCTCTTGTATTACTTTAATCTGCTTATAGTTGGACTTAAAGGTAATACATCCAAATAACAGGAAAAAAAAAACCACCAACATTTGAGTGGAAAAAAAAAAGTGAATAAAGCTGTGTTTTTTCTGTTAAGTTGCTTACCTACTTCAAAAATAAACATCACAGAAGAGCCTAAGAAAGTAATCAAGGCAAATAAGAAATTGTCTCTTTGGAAAACAAATCTATATTTGTGTCCTTTTAAAAAAAAATAAAAACCCACAGTGTAATCATTTGTTTATTAGGGCAGTGGGACTGACGTGTCCCTTGCTACATTCATTACTGCATATATGCAAGTAACATCTGAGACATGTAAATTATCTCAAAAGGACAAATGTAAGAAGCCAGAGTCGTCTTCAGAGCTTTGAAGGATGTCTTCAACTGCTTCCATATTGACCAACCCAAGTAGGCCTAAAATCTTTTCCACATATTTAAAGTAATTTGTTAAGCCTTTACAGAACTAGGACTTGAGCTGGTTTTAAAAAGAATGCAACTGTCTCCTGTATTCAAAACTTTGATAGATGCAGCTGAATGGCACATAACTGAAACATAATCTTTTCCTCGTCAGGCTGCCTGCACCCTGAAGCCTGACTCGTGTTTCGGGTGAAAGAGGGATTCCCCATCCCACTCCCCAGTTTTTCCCTTTTCTCAAACAATTCTGTACCAAATGTACAGACCTGTGAATAAGAAGATTGCTTCACTATGTTTATAAATATTTTAATTAAGTTGTTTATGTGTTAAAAACAACAACAACAAAAACCCACAAAACCAACCAAACAAAAAACCCCAACTCAAAACCATTAAAGAACCTGAAATCAGCCATAATACTAACAAGAGCATGTTTTTACATTTGCTGCCTCCAAAATGAAGGGAAATGTCCAAGTCAAAGCATATCTGCATAATATTGACAAGCAGATATGTTATAAAAGAAACTTCCAGCTTTTAAATCAATATGTTGGAAAATCAAGAGTGCTTGTCCCTGAGCCTGTGAGAGAATTATTACTGGGAGGTGAAGATGGTTCTGTAATTGAGAGGAAAATCTTTTTAAACATCTGCCTTTCTGCTCACCATCCCAAACAGCCAGCACAGCTTGTCAGCTTTGAGAGGCTGGCATCATTTGGGGGAAGGTGTAACATTATGTGTTGTGTTTTGATTTTTTTGTGTGTGTATTTTTATGAAACTGATAAATATTTTTAATTGCCTGGGAATTTCTGCAAACTGAGGTGGAAGATGCAAATTTGAAGGACTTGTCAATATAAGCAGTCAGATTCTGTTTAGGAAGCTGATGCTAAGGGGTGCAGAGGGGTTGTAGTGAGAAAGGGAAAGCTGTGACCAGGAAAAAACAAACTCAGAGCATTGAATACTGTAAAATTCCCACAGACTGACATTTTTCAGGTTGCATGTGGCATTGGCAACTATATGCACTGTTACTTAGGCTGCACAGAAGTGAAGGTTATTTTAGAGCTTGTGGACCTCAGAGGAAGGCAGCTTTCCACAAGAATGATGATGCTTCTTGTTAGTTCTGGATGGAAAAGTTATGCTGGTGTTTGTTTCTTATTTTTATAAATGTAGTACAAGAGAATGGTGTCAGAAGCTATGGCAGAAATGAATCTGAGCCAAAGTGCAGCAGAGGAAAGCTCAGTGGTCAAGCACTCTTTGGAAAGAATCTTAGAAGTATCAAAAAAAGAAAAAAAATTAGTATCTGTTTTCCACTCTGGGAGTTCCGCAATATTCCTAAGACTGATTTCATTATTTGGAGCTGCTGGTTTTAATGTTTAACCTTTTTTGCCGTTTGTGGAGTTACACCGCCACCCATATTTTCACAGGAGTGTCATATACTCTGTTAGGCAGTGGGAAAAAAAAAACGCAAACATGCCAACACAGAAAAGAAAAGAAAAAATGCTTAAGAGTTGAGTGTAGACAGACCAAACACCTTTTTCTTGGTCTCTGTAACACAGCTAGTTTCTGATGTCTGTGGTTTTAAAAGGAGGTAGCCCCCCACAGGTGCTTAGTTTCTCTGTACATTGGCTGCAGCCCGGGGAGTTCTAGGAAACTGCCAGCTGGCTGGGTGTTTGTGCACAGCGCAGGTGTATTGGAGAGCTGCGCACCTCAGGATGCTGTCCTGGCTTAAAGAATTTTCAGCTGAATGTCACAGAAAGCTCAATGTACATTTTGGCTTTTTTAAGCCCAAGTGAACTGTGGTTTTATTTGCAATAATGCCAAATTATTTTCTTCTTTGTTGCTAAATCTAACTCTCAGAGAAAACTTTGCTTAAAGCAAAGTTAAAGTAAACAGACATAACTTGAGCTGATGGTATCTTCATTGTTTATAGGTAGGGTTCTTTCACAGTCTGCTCCAGGAACACCACCAAAGACAATAACGATCTCTGACAGTGGAGTCATTGGATCATCTTTGAGTACAACACAACAGACACCGAATAAAATAGCTATCTCACCACTCAAATCTCCTAATAAGGTAAGGACCTGATTCTGGCTGCAGCCTTATATCCCTCCTGCACAGTGATCTGAATGGAGCTCACTCTGTCTTTACTACAATCTGCTCCAGAGTCTCCATTGCACATCATGATGCTCTGTGGTAATGGCCTAAGCTAGATCTTTTGCAATTGGCTACCTTGCTGTGGTTTTAAGTAAATATGCATTACTGCATTAATCTTATTCCTGCCATTTCTTGCCATTCCCTAAACATCGATTCCAAGAGCAGCTGTTCTCTCTTAGCCAAGTGCTCAAACAGTATTTTTTAATGCCTTCATAAAATATTAATAGGCTGTTTAAGAGGAGACCTCAATGCTAATAGGTCAGCACTTATTAACCGTTGCCTGCTGCTGCATAGGTAATTTAGTCTTCCCTAATCACATCTGAAGTAAACAAGGTTTGCAGTGGTCCTTGACAAATACAGAGCTGGAGATTGGCACAGGTGGGCGATACATAGAAAAGGTAACTAATACATTGTAAACTGCGTTATAGATGAGTGTCATGGTGACACTTGTATTTTAGACTTGATAATATTGTCTTGAGAAGAGGAACATTGCTGGAGAAAGGAAGAGTTGGAGGGAACAAGATGCATAATGCATGCAAACTAAGTATCACATATAAAAACGAGTCTAAGAGTAGAGAATTCTCTTAGTTTGGCCATGCTTTAGATATGTAACATTATACAAATGGAGTGAAGGACTTGTGTTTGAGAATTATTAGTGAGAGAAGCAACATGAGGAAGAAGTAAAAAAAAAAAAAAAATATATAAATTGAGAATCAAAATTAACAATGAGTGGGGGTTACTTGTTGAATTTACTGTAGATAAGTAATTCTAAGTATCTTTTTAAAGCAAATGTTTTAAAAAATTGGGAGTTTTCTTAAAACATAAAGAAGGGAGTTTAGAACAAAAAGTAGAAAACCAGCCTTGGAGGAGGTGTGGCTGTATAGAATAAGAGCATTCTAACACTGCAGAAATGTGGTGAGAAGCCTGGATCTCTACATGAATCTAGAAACTAGATTTGAAAACACCGACATTCTTATACTTTGGTTGAATCAGTACTGTAAGGTGAGACTCCCCCTGCCCCCAGCTCTCCTTTAAAATTTCCATTTAGGATTAAATAGTGATGGTACTGATTATAAAGCTGTTATTCAGAAAATCTGTCCTGACAATGGACAATAGCTTCAGTGGGCTAGTTTCCTTTAAAAAAAAAAAGCAACAAACAAACGTGAAACCAGAAGCAGTGATAGCTTTTTGCAGGGGCCTTTTGGTGCTGGAAACCAATAATGCCTTGAGGTTTCTAACATGTCGATGTGCTGTTGTTGCATGGTTGGACCCATGTGATTTGTGATTAAATACAGCACCCTTGTTCACAGGAGGAAGTCTTTGTACTGGTGGAGAACATTATTTTCATGAGAGGAGAAATGTGTATGTACAGGGTCTTGTATCCTGCGCAGAGGTTTAAACTGCTTCTTTGTTTTGCCAAGCAGCTAACAGTGGTGTCAGTGGCCTCCCAGCCTCCCAGCTCCCCCCAGAAGACGGTGGGCGTCCCACTGAATGTAGCGTTAGGACAGCAGATCCTCACAGTGCAGCAGCCAGCACCCTCCTCCCCTGGGAAGGCTATAGTCAACCACACAACTGCCCAGGTACAGACTGACTTTCCTTTGTCTTCTCGCATGTCTCTGTCTCATCGTTTGTGGGAAACTGGAGTGTTGAATGGCAAATTGGCAGTGGTCGGTCCCAAGGTGTTCTGGTAATAGTGTTTGCTTAAGAATTGGCCAAAGCATTGTCCTGAGGAGCATGCAATTCTTCAATCAAGGGGTGCAAACCATTGCAAGCCTGTACAAGGGCATGGTGTTAGAAAGCAGCTTTCCAACCTGGAAAGCCCCAGTGGGTGCAAGTTCTTGTCTCTGTATACTGAATCTCCCAAGTCATGTGAAAGGCTCCTTATGACACAAGGAAGAGTTCTTTGGGTAGTTCTCTCTTGTACCAGTGTTTCTAGGCCACTGACTAGGGCTCCAGGTGTTTCTGAGGTTTGCAACAATGGAATTTGTATTCTTGTGATAGAGGTCTGCATAAGTAAGACACTGTGGTCAGGGACATATAGAATTAGAAACTGTTAGTTTCCTGTGTCTCATTTCTAGAAAAATATCAGGGTTTTCCATAATACCTTTGATAAATTGTTTTGAGTGAGTGATGAGACAAAACTGATCTTTCTTACAAAGTACCGTTCTTACTTTTTTTCTCTTTTGTAATCTTAAGTGAATCTTTTCCTATCTTAATGTCTGTGTTCTGTTTTGGTAAACATGAAGGGATGTGTGTGAGTGTAAATGACTAGAGTGCTTGTAACAGGGACACGGTTGCATGTACAGCATGAGAACAGAGATTTAGACATATATTGCCAGTCTTGTCTTACCAATACAGGTAATAACTGTAATGCTGATATGGAGATGTAGACACCAGCATGATTTGATTTTCTTTTTTTTTTTTCCACACCAGAGTAAAACTGGCAAAACTGTCTTTTTGAAACGGTTATTAAAAGGTTAAGTCACTGTAATGCAAGCACCCTAGTGACAAAGTGGAGATGTCTTATGTGGTATACATACTGAGTTCTGATCCAAAGCTATCTTAGACAATGCAAGGGTTTCACCTGTCTTCACTGGGCTCAAGAACCTGCTATTAGAAGAACCGTCACTTGAATTTTACAATTTTCCCAGTTGTCCCTGGATGGCAGCCACTAATTTGTGTGCTAGAGGGAACTTTGCTCATGTTGGTCTCCCCGTGATAACACTTAGGCTGTGACTGTGCTTGCAGATAGAGCTTATTTTTAATTGCTCTGGGTTGCTGAGGTCTCAGTATATTTAAAAAAAAATCCCAAGAAAACACCTTCTTTTAAAAGACTGGGCTTATATTTCCAGTGAAATATGTGCAAATTGACATTTCATTCATGTAGTTGCTGAAAACCAGGGAGCTGGGAAAATGTTCTAATAAGAAGTCACATCGCGCTATCAACCAAATTTAATATTAAAACTTAATGCCAAGGACAATGATATGTTTAGTATCGATATTGAAAGATACTGAGAATAAAAGGTGAGCTCCAAAAGAAGATAGATGGAAGGAGAAAAAGGAGGAATAAACTAAGGTTTGAGGTTGTCAGCAAGGCTGGAAAAAGAGGCTGTTATCAAACTGGTAGACTTATGAATGTGTATAAATAAAATAAATACTTTTTTGTTATCAGTTTGTATTTTGAAAGAAATTGGAAAGATGAGGTCTTGCAAATTCAGGATGTACTGTTATTCCAGCTGTGAGGTAGCACAGGTCTGCTGAACTCCCTTTCCTTCCCCCTTTTGCTTTTTTTTTCCTTAATAAATTTGGTTTGCTACTTTTCATTGTTCTTGCTTCTTTCATTTCTCAGCTTGTGCCCTCTTTCTCATGTCTTCAGCTATCAGTTTATGGACTCTGTTCCATTTCCTTCTCAAGGGCTGCACGGGGATTTCTGTGTATTAATCACAAACTGTCTTACAGGATGTATCTGTACACACAGATAAATCATGCCACAGTCCAGCACAAACAGGTCTGCAAGTTCTTACCGTGTGTTTTTATTAGTAGGAATATTTCTAGGTTTGTTCATCTCTTGATGTTGAATACAAACTGAGCAATGTTCTTTGTAGTCACCTGAAGTGTTTTTGGCAAACATTGTATCTGGGGTGGACTAAGTCACCCTACTCATGTAAATATTAGTTTTCTCTGGTGTTTGGTGTATAGCACTGAAAATGGAACTGGCTCTGAGCTGTTGAGAGGCATTTAATCTCTTCACATCTGTTTTACTTTGAAAAAAGAAACCAAACAGGATAACTGACTTGCTTCTCAAAGATATGAATGGATTGAGGAGTTGCTTGCTAACAAGTTGAGGAATAAACACGCTGATGTTCTTTCTGTCTTTGTACAAGTAACTTTGCTGTTTGTGTTGGCTTAACAGGCTGTGAAATCAGCAGTGCAGACCATTACTGTAGGAGGAGTGGGTACATCTCAATTCAAGACAATTATTCCCTTGGCAACTGCACCTAATGTTCAGCAGATTCAGGTACCTGGAAGCAAGTTCCATTATGTCAGACTCGTTACTGCCACAACAGCCAGTAGTTCAACCCAGTCAGCCAGTCATCCTAGTACAAATACACAACCTCTTCAACAGGGTAAGTGCTTTTACTAATGTGTTGTTTGAAGTAAGTTTTTCTTGGGTTTTTTTTTCTTGTTTGCTTTGTAAGGATTAAAATGAGAACATAATAGAGATCTATCAAGACTGCCAGATGTACTTGGGTTTGTGGTAGACTCCTATAAATTTCATATTCTGTTGTTACCTGTGGTTTGTGTGTGGAAATGCTCCTTTATGTCAAATTCCTCTGTAGTTGGGCCTGAATCCTTGGAGCATTTCGGGTTGCTTTTCCCTAGTTTACCAGCTTTGTGGGTGACACATGGCAAGTCCTAAATCCTCTGTATGAAGAGTGTGAAGCCAGGACAGCCCACAAACATATTGCCAGAACTCCTGCAACATGAAGATCCTTCCATGTAAAATGCTTTAGAAGCACCAGTTGTTTCTGCTGATTTCTGTCCATGTTTTCTGGAGCTGCAATGGAATAAAAGATTTTCAAACTAAGCTGTTGGTTTTGTATTCTCTTGCCAATGGAAATACAGTGTCCAGAGGAGCTCTGCACCCAAGCTGGTTTTTAAGACATTGCTGTGAAACATGTGCACTGACTCTTGTGCCAAATACCTGTTTACAAAGGTGTTCTTTAGAAATAAGTGTTACGTGCCATTAGTTTGGTCACTTAATCTCAGTGCATAGTTACAGTATTAAGTACCTTTGCATTATGTACATGTGAAAGTTTGGAGGACTGAACTATGGAATTTGAGTGAATAATGTGTGTTAATGTGATGTTGTTTCTTGATACTAGCTAAGCCAGTGGTGGTGAACGCAACTCCAGTGCGGATGTCTGTTCCTATAGTGCCAGCACAGACTGTGAAACAGGTGAGATAAATGTAAAAGTCATATTCCTGACTTATTTTGGCTGGACAGAAAAAAAGGTCCAGTTTCAGCACTGTAATGAAATGCTCTGTTAATAAAAGTGCATTTTGAATCAACAAAACAATGATTTCATAAAGATGTCTTTTCTCTCCAGGTAGTGCCCAAACCGATCAACCCAACCTCCCAGATAGTTACTACTAGTCAGCCCCAACAAAGACTTATTATGCCAGCCACTCCACTGCCACAGATACAGCCCAACCTCACCAACCTCCCACCAGGCACTGTACTGGCACCAGCACCTGGCACAGGAAATGTCGGGTATGCAGTCCTTCCAGCTCAGTATGTCACACAGGTATGGTATTAAACCAGAGATAAATAAAGAAATAGTGCTGTTGTGGAACATACTGCCTTCCTCTTAAAGTTTCTTGATCCTCAACTGTCACCTGACACTAAGGGGACAGACAGTTTCTTTTAGGGAACGTTGGCAGAATGATGACGGCACTAAGTCATAATTACAATTAAAGCTTTATTTTCTTAGCAGGATTTTTTCATTAGCATAGAATTTATAATCAAAATAGCACAGGATTTCTATAAGTATAATCAGACTACAGTTTTAAAGTAGTGTAGTACAGAATTTGTAATACAACTTAACTTACAATTTCAAATCACCTAGATCTTAATGTACAATTTCTAATTACCAAGACCATCTGCAGATCGGGTCAAATCTTTAATACATCGTTTCCTTTATCAATGTAACAATCATAATCTAGACTCTAAAATCATAAAAAGGAGTATGAGTCAGTCACTTAATCCTTGGAGGAAGCAGATGTCAGTGGAGGTTTGTCTGGCTACCGGAGTGTCACAGGTCTCACTGTCCAGCAGCGGTTCTGGTCCAAGTTCCTCACTTAAGACTTGTAACTGCTTGATTTCATAGACAGTGCTCTGTGTGCTGTTACGCTTCCTTTGTTCTATGACAGTCATCACCACCAGCTGGTTGTCCAGGTGCCGGGGAGACCTTCACAGCCAGTAAGGAAAGGAGTAATCAGCCTGGTGCCCAGGAATCTTGAGGCTAGTAGTTAGGGGAAGAAGAAATATGTTTGGTTTGTCTCCTTCCTTCACAGGACCTTCAGGACCTGATAATGAGGGGAAAGGGAATGAATATGTGACCCTCTCAGTTACTACTGGCTGCTTACATTATAAAGTGGTGTTAGTTACGTTAACCACATTACCAGGGGTCAGGAGCAAGGGGTACCACTTATACCAACCCAGCTCGAGGGATTAGTTTTTTGCTCTCTGTCAAGATCTGACCAATGTTCAGAATGAAAAGGGGAATAAATGAAACGTTGTGCTGAAGGCTGACCATCCAGTCTGTACAAACAAGGACTCTGTCAGCTTATGGCATTACTGGTACCAGCTTCATTTCTGCTTCCCTTCTGGTTTGTCACAGCTGCAGTTTGACTCTGAAAACTATTACTATGTCCTTCCAGTCCACATACACAAATCACCCTAAACTAAATAATACCATTTGTTAGACCTCTCGTCAGAGGTTTTGGTCTAGAAACAATCTGGCCCCAGTAGGTCCCTATCTTGTTATGTGCCAATCTGTCTTCGGAACCTGTCCCAGCAGGAGAAAATTGCTGTGCGTAGGTAATACAAAAGAAGGTAGCCCAAAACAGTGTCATTTGTCAGGTTCTTAACAAGGTTTTGGTTTTTTAATGTGAAAAACACACTGTGGGTCCAGGAATGCAAGGAAATTGGAATGTAAATCATTTTACTTGCTTTTATTTGATTCCGTAATAAGTGGCTTGTCTATTAAGGAAGCTACTAAAATAATTTGTGCGGGAAGCAACCCTGTTCTATTGGGGCAGGGTTGCTTAGGGGGAAAAAAGGGAAAATGAGCATGATTTTAGGAGCTGGAACTGTTTGTGGTCTGAACGTTTCTGTGTATAGTCTCTGTGTTATCTGTATGGCTGTAAACACTGCGACAGAGAACAAAAATACCATCTAAAATGTTTTTATTCTGAGTATGGAGGCAGGAGGTTGCTGTCTGGTCCAAGTTCTACATATGTCTAAAACCATGCTTACAAGCATATTATTTTTATAATAATATCTGGAAAGCTAATTAAAAGATTAGCTACACACCGTCTTGTGCGTATCTTAGTTTCTTTGATGTTACACATTAACTTTTTTGTTTTGTTAGCTACAACAATCATCGTATGTATCTATAGCAAGCAACACTGGCTTTACAGGGACATCTAGTATCCAGTCCCAAGCACGGCTACCATTCAATGGGTGAGTGTTTTAGAGAAAAAACAACAAACAAGTAAACAACAAAAGCCACTGCAGTATAGGCTGCTGAATGTGGGAGCTGAGGTGTTGGAGTTTGGTTTGAGGGATTTTTCCAAGAAAATCAGGTATACTCTGGTCTGGTTATTACCTCTGACAAAGGACATGGCTCTGACTGATGATTGAGCCAGTCTCTTGGTCAAAGGTGTGGTTTACTTTGTTTTTTGAACTCATGTAGCAAGTTGACCTGAAAGCTCCCTGTTGTTCATTCTTCATTTTGCACCAGCACCTGGGAGCTGCAGACTTCAACTGTTTCTCAACATTGCTGGAAAGAGATGCTGGAGAGCAAGATAAATGCAGCAAGATATAAGAGCTAGATGCTTAGCACATGCAGAAATCCAGCTGAAGAGCAAAATGGAACTAAAGCCCAAAATGGATCCTGATAGGAGGCTTTGTTTTTTTCAGTCTTGTATTTTTCCTTTGAGGATGAAAGTAACTGTTAAGATATTATTTTTCTCTTTGCCAATACAGCAGGCTTAGCTGTTCTGCACAGTCCTTTTGTGTTATTGTTTGCTGGAAATTGTAAATGCCAAGATGCTTTTTCTTGCTCCAACTTCAACTGATACACACTAATCCCAAATCCGGGTGCAGCTATTCAAACAAATGGGTTTGATTTAATCTCCCTACCATTACGTGCAGAAATTGCTAGACAGGGATGGAATGAATCTCATCAAAAGTGATTAGTGACACAAAATCAAAGTTTTAAGAGCATTTATAGATAAACTGAATACCATGTTTTGGGTTGCTTTCCCATTATTCCAGAGCTTTTTGGGTTTTGGTTCTTTTTTTTAAATTCCAACTAGAACAAAAGGAAAGGCATAATCGTGTTGTGTGAACTTTGGTTGGATCTAGTCCCCCTGGATGTAGAGAGGTTCTGGGGAAGTTTTCCCTGATTCCAGTTTTCAGTTATGATGCTTCCTTTAGCTTTAAGCCTCACTTCTGCTTTAGGCATGCAGCCAGATTTGCAGCAAATAAACCAGCTCTTTCTGGGTTGTAATGGCACTGTATATATAATAGTTACTTAAATGCAGTCAGCCAAAAACCTAATGCAATGGGAATGTAAAGATTTTTTCAGTTTTTATTATGAGCTATTTACTTGAATTTAATACAGGAAGGAACTGATAAAACAGTGTGTGTATATATAAATGCGTTTTTCCCCCCCCCACAGAATAATTCCTTCTGAATCTGCAAACCGCCCCAGGAAGCCTTGCAATTGTACTAAATCTCTATGTTTGAAATTGTAAGTACAGCTTGGTTTTGGTTTTTTGGTGGATTTTTTTTTAAGCCATATTTTTGACATCACAAATTTATGCCAAGTATCAGAATATAATGTTTTTAAGTATGTCAGAAATGTTATGTTTAGATGCTAATTTACGGTTGCTTTTGACAGTGGTGGAGGTGTTGTCGTGCCTGTGTAATTTTGCAACTCCTATGAGCTATATGGACCCTAACATTTTATACATTTCTAACTTTGCAGCCTTGTCGTGTGGTGGAGGCAATTCTACTCAACAGCTCTAGTTGTGTTGTTGCTATGAGTGAAATGACATGCCATGGTATCCTCAGTGCGCATCTGCTGTACTTTAGTGAAATGCATCAGTAATACCATGCTGTATTGAGTACTTTAGAAAAATTGGGCTGTGTACCTTTTCTTAAATGACTGAATGGACAAGTGATTCTTCACTGATAGGTGTGAGTGTTGCTCATCCTCATGAGACATTTTGCTATTCATTCAGTGTCTTAGTAAGTGTTTGACATAAAAGCATTTTAAGCTGAGGAGATGCTAAGTTTCTTTAACTTCAGATACAATCAGTTTACAGATTTTTGGAACAATAACAGGAGGAGATACTGAAATTAATCTGTGGTTCCCTGAACCCTAGGGAATGAAGAGGAGATTGATGGTTTGCTACTCAGAGGGAAAGTGTTGCAACAGTATCTGAACCCAAGTTAAGAAGTGTGTTGAAATTTTTCAGCTTGGGTTTCTTTTCATGGAATGCATCCCACCTCTATGTGGGGAGGTGTGCCCTGTGCTTCCTGCCTCAAAATTGTCTGTTGCACAGAAGATGTGATAAATAGGAAGATGTGTAGCTGTTTATTCAGATATTTTACAACATACTTGACTTGTTAGATACCTAGTGTTTTCCAGGTACTTTAGTCTTTGGTGCCTGAACGCTCTGGAAATGGCATCAGTGGTGATGCTTTGCACCTTTGGAATGCTGTTTGGAAACAAACTTGTCTTGTAAATTACTGTAATTATAACTTTAAGTGGCTAGGCATTGGTGCAGAGCAAATGGCTGACTGACTCTGGCAAAGGTGCTTTCTCACTAGTAAAACTTTCCCATCTGGAAGGGAAGTTGCTTTTTTCCAAAAGAATGTTGGAGGTAGGACCATAGCCTATTACACAAAGAAGAGAACTTGGAGAAGTTATTTGCTCACTGATGCTCTGGGTTGATGCTGGCGCTGTTTGTTTTAGAAACCAGCACTGTTCCACTACTGAATTCTGAACAGGACAGAAAGGAGTGCTATTGCAGCTTGTAAAAGCTTTTGATGTAGCTTGACCCTGGGACCATTAAGGATGCTAAAAATCACCAAAATGCAATTCAACCAGATAAAGGATTGTTGTGGACTCCGGGGCAACAATAATCTAGTTATTGTAGTGTTACCCCAGGCAAGCCACAGGAAGCCAGTTCTGCAAGGGGTTTAGGCTCTTAAAAATGAACATACACTTCCAGCAGGATTTCAAAAGCACCAGAAGAGGATCAGCAGTTTCCATCAGCTATAGCTGGAGGTGGTACTGGAAGCATTGATACATGCCATAGTTTGTTGTGGCCCAAAGCTGTGTTTCAGCTGAGGATAAATGTGGTGCTTCTGTGTATCAGATCTGTGGGATGGTGAGATCTTGTTTTTGGTGGGAGGTAGCAGAGGTACCTAAGAGGCATGGCAATGTGATTGGCTCTTTCTGTCAATGGTTTGCTGCTTTTTATTCATATACTTGTCCCTTTAAAGAGTCTCTGATAACTACAGCTTCATCCTCATTCAGATCCTTCTCCTAGTTACCAGTGCTCCAAAGCCTATGAGGTGTACCACTTGTTATTCTTTTTCTATTCTTCTATCCCTGCTTTGGTGAACTCTGCCTCAGTTCACAGCTGCAAACACCTTATGGGCAAAAACTAACAAAAAAAGGCTCATTGCTGTATTAGTCAGTTTGCCTTTTGATTGGCACTCCAATTGCTTGCCTTTTGTTTTGGCTGTATGAGAGCTCCTGAGGGCTGACTTGAACTGACTGGTTCAGAAACTGGCTATGAGGTGGCTGCAGCAGGATGGCCCTCAGTATGTGGCTCCATCATCCAGGAGTCACCCTAGGAAAAAAGTCTCATTAGCTTGTCTTGCAGCTGTGGGGACCTGTGCTATGTGAACATCACCTCAGATGGTCGCCCTTGAGCTATACCTATGTCTTTAGACAGCAGCTAGACCTGCATTAGAGGATTTAGGCCTTGCAACAAGGCTGATACCATTTGTACACATGGAGTTGAGCACAGGGTGACCCTTACCCTTATTGGTGCATGTGCATATCACCAGACTAGGAACTTCTGCTACCATCATCAGTACTAACACCAATGTAATGGTCATGTTTACAAATGCCTTCTGCATCTTTTGTTTCAGGTATTGTGATTGTTTTGCAAACGGTGAATTCTGCAATAACTGCAACTGTACAAATTGCTATAACAACCTCGATCATGAAAATGATAGGCAAAAAGCAATAAAGGTGAGAGGTCTCTTCCCCTTCCCCCAGGATAAAAGCCGGTTAGCTTGTGTCTTCTGAAGCTATGGCATGGGGCAGAGTGGGTGTATAATGCCCTGATCTCCTCCCAAGTGTGCAAGGCTTAAGTTCTTATATCGCACCTCTAAATTCTGCTCCGTGCATGTAGTGACTGACACTTTGGGTCTGCATTGACAGGCCTGCCTTGACAGAAACCCTGAAGCCTTCAAGCCCAAAATAGGGAAAGGAAAGGAAGGAGAATCGGATCGGAGACACAGCAAAGGTTGTAACTGTAAACGCTCGGGATGTCTCAAAAACTACTGTGAATGTTATGAGGTATGAAGCATTATCTCATCTTAAAGATACTGGCTTTTTTCTTTAGTGCTGCAACTTCTTTGTTTTGCTTTGTCTCTTCTTTGTATTGCTAGAATGTTTTCTCTTCTGTTCTTTTCTATTGCTATAACGTTATCTCTTCTTCCAGCAGTTTGCACGTGGAAAGCAGTGTGGCAAAATTGATCACTTCTGTTGTATAAGTTTAATTTTAAATCATGTAGCAAATTTGAATTCAGGCTTGGATCTGTCCTTTACTGAAAAGCAGTATTTCCTAAAGAAATCTACTGCACTGAGACCCTAAGAGGAGTTGAAGCAGCATCCCACAGATGATCTGGGATAGCATGTATCTGTGGAAGATAAAAGCAAAAGTTGTTTTTTCTGATCAGTCTGTGGATGTAGAGACAGTGCCAGACTGACCTCTCTCATAGCTCAACCACCTAAATTCCACTGGTGAAGAAAGGGATGGTGAAGAAACCATCAATTTGCATGTAATTGAAGTATACATTCTGGGAAGGCATCTCACTTTGAGGTGCGAATTTAGAGAGAAGACTACTTGGGGGGGTTTCTTCTAGTGGCTAATTGATAAGAAATTAAAACAAGATCTTTTTGTTGTGGCTTGACATAAAGGGAGTCAAGCTTGCAACAGGTTTCTCATTTCTCTTTGTTTCTTTCAGGCAAAAATTATGTGTTCTTCCATATGCAAATGCATTGGCTGTAAAAATTTTGAAGAAAGCCCGGAGCGAAAGACATTGATGCATTTGGCAGATGCTGCAGAAGTTAGGGTCCAGCAGCAGACCGCTGCAAAGACCAAGTTATCCTCCCAGATCTCAGATCTGCTGACAAGGCCAACACCAGCACTCAGCAGTGGTGGTGGGAAGTAAGTTAATGCAGCACCCTGTTTCAGTTGCTTCTAACATGTTTTTTCTGATGTGTGTGACAGGTATGTCCCTGTCATCTTTGAATGTTATCTGTGTAAGCTGTAGAAGCAGGCGCACTCAGATGACTGGAGCTTTTTGTTCACTCCACCATGCTTTCTGTGAAACCTAAGGTATGCCAAGCTTAGCTGTGTTCAAGCACGTAACTAAGTGTTGTTTCCTCATGGTTGCCCACGTGCTCACAGAAAGCATGAAGTGCCCCATTTACTGAGAGGATGTAATCCTTGAGCTGCCCTTATAGTAAAAGCTGGAGAGTTGTTCTATGTACCTGGGCATTTCAAAGTCTATTTCAAAATGTATATCAGTGGAGGCAGGCACCAAAGCACAATGGTCCACCAGTCCACCATTTGGCTTATTCACTCCCTGTTGGTTGTGTAAAGGCTCTTGGAAGCAATGGGACAGATGTAATCTCATCAGTTCTTGTACTAAAAAGTTGCCCAACTCTGGAGTTAGGTGCATTGTGTGTTTTTGCTGAGAGTGACTGGATCTTTCCTTGTTTCAGGCTGCCCTTTACATTTGTAACCAAGGAGGTAGCTGATGCAACCTGCGAATGCCTTCTCGCACAGGCAGAGCAAGCAGAGAAGACGGGCAAGTCAAAAGCTGCTGCAGAGCGCATGATCCTGGAGGAGTTTGGACGCTGCTTGATGAGAGTTATTAACTCTGCGGGGAAGTCCAAAAGTGACCCTTGTGCCATGAACTGCTGACTCATGCACATGAGCCACAATGAAGTGGACTGAACAGAACACTTAAGGCACAGGGACACTTTGGTTTGGCATAGAGGATTTAATATTTGTTAATTTGGTGCTTGTAAATTGACCTGCGTAAGATTGAAACAAGAAAATCTTTTATAACAAAATGTAGAGCCTTTTAAATCTTAGCTAAATCCTCTTTTACTTAAGACAATGCCTAAAGGTCAATTCTTCTTCCTGATGTACAGCTTTTACCTTGGTTTTCTTAAAAATTAGATGTATTCTCCCTTTTCCCCCAGAATAATTGCCTGAAGGGCATATATAAATTATTATAATATATATTATTTACAGTGTATGGAGTTGCATCACTTTGTGCATACAGGAAAACACAGGTGATGTCAACAGCTAAGTGATGCTTTTGGGGACAGGCCCATAATAAGGAGGTATCAGCAATGCAAAATAGTTCTGAAAAGAAGTGTGTAAAAATGAGCATCTAAACGGAAGGTAGTACTTAGGACCTGACACAGCATGTTCCTTTAGTGCAAGGAGCACTGTGAAACACACAGGCAATAATACAGAGGTGTTGCTTACAGATTTAGCGTTGGACAAGTGGTAGAGAATCTCACTGGAGCAGGGCCCAAGAAGTTTAGAAGTGAACAGAATTTATGGGGAATTTTTTTGATAGGAATGTGGCTGAGCGCTCAGATGTTTCTTAAGCTGGAACTTGAAGGCTAAGACAGTGGCCTGTTCTCAGAAGTGAGGAACAGCAGCTGTGCCACAATGCTGGACTGTCTGCTGCCCAGTGTACAGCATTACCTAAGTGTACAGTGTTACCTAAGTGTGCAGTAGATGGATGCTGTTGCTTAGGAGAAGCTTGTTTTTTCAGAGGTCTGCAGTAGCCTAAATCCCTCACTGGAGGTAGGGCTGTGCAGTCCGTTGGGTTTTCTAGAATCGAGGTGTAACCCTGGAGAGGTGTTTAAGTCTGAGAAGCTGAGGTCGTGCGAGATGGTGGAACCGCAGTGGTCTTAATGAGGACTCGAGACAATCTGCATCCGAATCGACTTGCAAACGCAGGTAGGGATCATGTTCAGCCTGGTTGTGGGTCTTCAGGATGTTGCTTCCCTGTATGCTGACAATTTATTTGGTGTAAGTTGTGGTTTTTTTAGTGTTGTTTAGAATGACTGTGAGAACGGTGATCAGAGAGGATGCTAGCACAGAATCAGGATTGCTACCAAAACATGCACAGATCCTTTTACACAAAGCGGGGAGGCAGGGGGAATCAACTATAGCTGCGTACAGACTAGGAAAGGGGATTTTTTCAGTATTTGTTATGGGCAATCTCAGATCACATTCTTGATAGCAGAACACATTTTCAAAATTAACCTGGTAGGATACTTATCCACCATGAACATCAATAACCATGTTTAATCACAGGCTTTTTTATTACCTGTCTCACTGCAGCCTGAACTAGCTAGGTTTTTCCAAAAAGGATTTTGTATTCCTTGTGTAAAACTGGAAATACAGAGAAATGCAGCAGAGCTCTTCTTCCAGGTTTTCTAGCAGGGCCAGGCTGGGGAAAGGTAGGGGCTAGGCAAACCAGCAGCAGAGCTAAGTGCCTACATGCGTGATGGCAATAGGATGGGAGGATGCCTCCACTCCTGTCTTCACCCCACAGTCCTGTGCACTGAGCAGAAGGCCCTTTCTCCTTGACCTTTCTCTGATGCCTCCTCCAAATGCCTCGGGGACACGAAGGGCCTAGGAGGCAACCAGCAGCAGTGGCCAGCCCGTTGAGTGGCCGGTGCAGACAAGGTTTTATCTGCCAGAGGCTGTCTGAAGAGCCCTGTTTGCCATTAACATCTCCCTGAGCAAAAATAGCAATTATATTTGTGCAAATCTCTGAAAAGGGAATCCACCTCTCATGTAAGTAAATACTATTTTTTTCATAATTAGGACTTGGATTTACTAAAAAATCAGTGCAGTACCTTTACATGTAGATAGTGCGGATATTAAGTTTACTTCTAGTGACCTAATATAATATGTCCAGTAAGATTTGTATAAATGTAAATTAGTGTAAGTGAATAAAGTAATACCTAGTTACGTTATTTTTCAAACAGATTGCAATATGTCTTCTTTTGTTTAGACTTCAATCCATGTTAATTTTGTATATATTCCGTGTCTTACTCTAAATTGCACCTTTGTGATGTGTATTTATATACAGTGTGCAAAAACACTTGTGAAATTTAGATTACAGTTGTAATTATGTATGATGGCATTGCTTGAGAATATTTTGCTTGTAAAGACTTTGAAGCTGCAATCAAATGCTCTTAGTTCTGCTATTTTGTTTTGAACAAGCTTTCTCAAATATTAAGCTTGGATTCCTATCTCCCCTCTCCCTGGTGTAGAATCTGTGAATTGGTTTTTGTACTTCCTTAGCCATTTGCATCAAACTGCTAGACAAGATTTACAGTCAAGTTCATCCAGTTACCCAAAAATAATTGGGAATGGGGCAAGGGTTCATTTTCTAGTTCTGTTTACATCCAAAAGTAGAAAAATTAAATTTATATTTACTAGACCTATTCAAAGAATACACTTTTCTATATTGTACAAATAAAACAGTCAGATAAATCACAAAGAAAAATAAACATTTATACTATTCTGTAAATACGATTTTTTTTTGCACTCCTTTCCTTCAGCACTGGCAAATATGTACAGAAGATTTTCACTGAAATATCAAAATAAATCTGTGAACACTAGACCCGCTCCTGATGCAAGTACTGGCTAGGATTTTCAGTATGAGATTGAATCCTACCAGAGATGAACCTTGATTACTGGCATAGCCTAGTAATTCATGGCACATTGTGGCACAGTTCATGAAAGGCCAAAATGTGTCAGCCAAGCCAGCACCAGATAGTTGAGCCCATGTGATAATTTCTTTTAAACTCTTTAATGAGAAAGCATAGTTTTTTCATGTGCCCTGGATGGACAACAGTCAGACTCGGACTGAGCAGAAAGACGTGCAAGGCCATTCTGCAGCACCCCTGAAGACAGCAGGGTGCTACATAGAGCTCATAGAGGATCCCAGGCAAAACATTGAGCCAAAGCCTATCGAGAGCCTTAGACTGCCTGTTAGCAGGACACAATGCACTGCTTTCTTGCAGCATTTGTGTCTTTTAATGTCTCTCTTAAGGAGGAGGTTTGTGAGTACCTCTTGCAAAGCTATATTACTCAGTTGCATTAAGGAATACAAGTCCGTTAAGAGAGCTGTTTGTTTCTGCAAAGAAACCAAGTAAAACCTGGTTTTATTGTTGTGCATCCAATATCTAGGTTCAGCTTTTTTTAGCAGTTTGGTAAAGGTAGTATACAATCAATGCTCAGGGAGTCTTAGGAGTGTTGTTAGGATGCTGAATGAATGAAACATTACTGGACTGAGCTTTTCCCCCCGAGCACACCAGCTGCTGTGAGAGAAGGCTCACTTAACTTAGGCTGCAGTAGAGGACCGTAGAGAAGGAAAGAGGTGCTTAAAGTGACTTAGGGGTGTGTTTGGACCTCATGGAGGGCATTGTGCTAGCAAGAGTGAGGGTGTTTCAGAGAGAGATGGTGAACATCTGAGCAAGTAGTTGCTGGGAAGAGAAAGCAGTGTCCAAAAGACACTGTGGGAAAACAAGTGGTGCAGAAAATCACTTGGTCACAATTGTAGAGTTACGAATGCTGAAAAATTTCACTGAAACCTGACAGTTGCTGCGGTGTGACTATAGCCAGCAGTATCTGTTGTGGGCAACAGCAGGTCTGTATTTCTGGAAAATAATGGCCATTGTTATGGGGTTCCTATAACAACTGTCAAGCTTTCTTGTCATATTGGATAGCTTTGTTTATTAGATAACTGCTGCAGGTTTTTCTAATAATGTGCTTTTACTCAAATGTCACCCTACCAAGCCCTGTAAAACTTCCTTAATCTCTTGGAAACCTCTGTCATCAATATTTCAGTGAATTACAAAAGGATGTGTGAACTGTGGTGGTCACGGGGACAGGCAGGTCAGCGATAGGAATGCACAGAGCCCAACATCAGCCAATCTGTGCAGCAGTCACTGACTCAGTTCACCAATCGGCAGCGACTGCACAAAACACATGAGAAATTCAGAGATGGGGGACCCCTGGGTGCAGCACGCCTGCCATGTTCACAATTTCACACCAGCTGTCAGGAGGTCATGTGCATCTTCATGCAAGAGCTTCTTGTTCAGGAGGAGGCTCAGTATGAATCGAGCAAGACAAGCTCGCTCAGATGTAAACAGGAAGTGGCAGCAAGCTTATGTCTAGCTGAAAAAAATGCACAGTGAGGAAGTGCCTGTTTCCTGCAGCTCGGCTCATGTTGGGGCTGGAGGTTTAGGCAATGAAAATGTTACAACATTATGTGAGTGCAACCAATCTACCACTGGGACTTCAGCAGCATTTTGCCAGTTGTCCCAAAAATCACCTATATATGGGAGGGAAATTGTTTCCTGCGGAATCTCTTGTAGCTGGAATGGCTCTATGGCAGTTATGGCTTCAACATGGCTTTTTGCATAGGTAACTGGACGGGGAAGAAAGTCTACAGAGGTTTTGGTTTGCTACTCCCAGCAGAGAACACACAAAGTTCTGTGGTGCAGCTGCTTTCAAAGCAGAGCTTCAGGAATTGAGTGCAGCAGCTCTGCTCCTGCCATGAGTAGGACTAAGAGGAGGAGGAAGAACCCAAACTGACCAGGGACAGTTTTGTTAAGTCACTGGTAAGCAGAATGGCACCTTGAATATTGCCTTGGGACACTATTTTTCATCCCATCTCCAACATGCAACTCAAAAGTAACTGAGCTGATGTAGTTGCCAAGCCACTCTCCATGATAATTGCAAAGTCATGGCAGTCAGGTGAAGACCCCGGGGACAAGAAAAAGGGAAATGTTTGCACCCATTTTTAAAAATGGTAGACAGGAGGATCGTGGGAACTACTGACCTGTCAGCCTCACCCCTGTGCCAGGGAAGATGATGGAACAGATCTTCCTAGAAGCTATGCTAAGGCACATGGAAAATTAGGAGGTGATTTGAGACAGCCAGCATGGCTTCACCAAGTCCTGTCTGACCAACCTAGTGGCATTCTGTGATGCAGTGACCTACAACAGTGGACGTCATCTGTCTGGACCTCTGGCCTTTGACACAGTCCCCCACAACATCCTTCTCTCTAAATTGGAGAGGTATGGATTTGATGGGTGGACTATTTTGTGGAAGAGGAATTGGTTGTTGCAATTGGTTGGATGGTTGCATCCAGAGGGTAGTAGTCAACGGCTCCAGTGTCCAGATGGAGATCAGTGACAAGTGGTGTCCATCAGGAGTCCGTACTGAGGTACTGTTTAATATCTTCATCCATGACATAGACAGTGGGATTGAGTGCACCCTTAGCAAATTTGCAGATGACACCAAGCTGAGTGATGCAGTTGACATGCCTGAGGGACAGGATGCCATCCAGAGGGACCTGGACAATCTCGAGAAGTGGGCTTGTGTGAACCTCATGAGGTTCAACAAGGCCAAGTTGCAGGGTTCTGGCTGGGGGATGAAGGGATTGAGATTAGCCCTGCCGAGGAGGGCTTGGGGGTACTGGTGGATGAAAAGCTGTACGTGACCAACAACGTGCACTCACAGCCCAGAAGGTGAACCACATCCTGCGCCGCATCAAAAGAAGCATGGCCAGCAGGTCAAGGGAGGTGATTCTGCCCCTCTACTCGGCTCTGGTGAGACCCCACCTGGAGTACTGCATCCAGCTCTGGACCCTTCAGCATAGGAAGACATGGACCTATTGCAGCAGGTCCAGAGGAGTGCCACAAAAATGATCAGAGGGCTGGAGCACCTCTCCTATAAGGACAGGCTGAGAGAGTTGGGTTTGTTCAGCCTGGGGAAGAGAAGGCTCCAGGGAGACCATATTACAGCCTTTCAGTACTTAAAGGGGCCTACAGAAAAGATGGGGACTAACTTTTTAGCGGGGCCTGTTGTGATAGGACAAGGGATAATGGCTTTAAGCCAAAAGAGGGAAGATTTTGACTAGATATAAGGAAGACGTTTTTTACAATGAGGGTGGTGAAACACTGGAAGAGGTTGCCCACAGAGGTGGTAGATGCCTCATCCCTGGAAACATTCAAGGTCAGGTTGGATGGGGCTCTGAGCAACCTGATCTTGTTGAAGATGTTCCTACTCATTACAGTGGAAGCTGGACTAGATGACTTTTAAAGGTCCCTTCCAACCCAAACCATTCTATGATTCACTTGTAAAACATGGGGCTTTAGGGGTGCAGTTTGATATTGTAGTTCCCCCTCCAGGGGATCTAGACTTAAAAACCTTGTTTAGCCATTTGATGAGACAGGTAGGAGTGGAGATTAGAGCTTGTGTGCAACTTGAGTGCCATTTTCTTTTCATGTCTTTATTTTCCTTTTTAAGTAAAAGCTTGGCAAGCTTTCTTGCCTCCAGCTTTTTTAAAGCAGATCTGCTTTGGTGAAATCAAATTGCCAGCACACGTAACCTCCCCCACCCGCATGGAAGATGCATCAGTTTTCTCCTAGCAAGAGCACTCGCAGCACTAAGCCACCCAGCGCCTCCAGGGGACACTCTGCAGTATCGCCTACCATTTTCCCAGGCATCTTGAACAACCATTGCTCATTCTGACCTGCCACACTAATGTAATGAAATATGTGGCTTCTTTGCAGGATTGCTAGATGAAACACAGGATCGCTAGATGAAACACAGGATCAGATAAACTTCCTTGCTTTGGTCAGCCAAATTCTGATCAGATGGTTTGCAGTGGCCCAACACATCACTGCTTATCAACACCAGTTTTGCTGGCAAAATCATGGGAAGACACTACATCACTTCCTCACATGTGTTGCCTAGATTGGGCCATCACTGAGCCTCTATAGGGGACAGCCATCCTTGGAACAGCAATGAGTACTCATGACCCCATGTGGCTTTGGCTTGACTGACAGCTACCCAGCGGTGATGGAAACAAATGTTTTCCCTTTAGTTTCTTCAATCTGTGCCTTCCACAATGGTATTTCAAGTTCAGGTGTTTGGCATGGTTAGTTCTGATGTTTAAGTAATTTCGTGTTATTTGCTTTACTAAGATTGTGTAGTGATTGTTGACACACAACTCCCCATCAAATAAATGGTTTGTGAGGGTGGGGAAAAGGGGACTTTCTCCCAGAAGCTCCTGGAACACTTTCTGTTCTAGAGACAAATGCCATACCTTGGTGTTTTTGTTGCCATCTCCTACTTTGCCATACCGGTTTAGAACTTGTTCAGAAATGTTTGTTATGTGATACACACTTGCCGAGGGCAGACTCACTCCACCTAACTTTTTTATGTAGAGCACCGACCCACATCTTAGCCTGCTCTCATCTGACTCAAAGAGAGAAGCAAGACAAGCCTCACATTGCAAGGTGGATGCTAATTGCTCAGCAACGAAGCCTGCAGTGCAGGTGACACTCCGTGCATGCAGTGATAGGTCTGTCAGCGCGTTACTCAGTGCAGAGCCATGCAAAAGAAGGCCTGCACAACAGGGGTGCTTTGTTGCCAATGTCCTCTGATGAGCTGGGTTATACTGAGCACGAACACTGCCAAGGGTTAGATCCCTCCTACCAGACAGGGATATGTCCAAAGAGCTTGTATTGTCTGAGCCACCACTGTGTGGTGAGCCTGGTGCCAGGCTGCAGCTGGCCAGCAGTTTGTGATAAGCAGCCTGAAACACAGTGCAGGTGGGGCTCCCGCTGCTGCCACAGGCTTGCTGGAGAGCCCTAAGAAACATCTCCAGTGGGTCGAGGCTGAAGGCGTAGGTCAGGAGGTGAGAAGGACTGCCTTCTGGACACACATAGTTGGTGTAAAGCCACTTGAGGCTTTCTGCATTGACCAAGAAACTCATAAATCCTAGTTTGCGTTTACTCTTAATAATGTGTCTCCCCATGGAGTCCGTTAAGGTGACAAAGCAGCTCTTGGCCTCATTAAAGACGTGGCTTATTTTGGTGTAATTTCCAGCTAGCAATTTCCTTCTATAGGGAGCTCTGCCATGAAATACATCACACAGACGGCTCATCAAACGCACAAACTTGACAGTACAACTGCAGTTCTGGAATGAGACCAGGCCCAGCTTCTGGAGGTGTTCGAGCGCATCAGCAACAGCCTCGCTGAACAACAGGGTAGCAAGGTTGACCTTCAGGTAGTAATTCTCCTCACTCCCAGATCTACCTGACTTGGGACTGCATGGCTCTAATACCCTCTGCTCCTGCAAAGCTGCCAGCTCCACCACATGCTGCCACTGCATGGTGTCACTGAGCCACTCTATCTTCTGGAAGCACTGCAGAGCATTCCTTATCAGTTGGAGTGCATGGCAAATGTCAAAGAAGTACACGATGCTGTGAGCAGAGCCAGGTGGATGCTGGAAAGTGCACTGAATCCTTTCAGGATCTATCCTGATCCCCAGAGCTCTGGCGGTCTCAGCACTGCGAGCAGTGGCACCTGATGTCACAGCCAGCACTGTGATGCCAATATTGTTCAGCTTATTAATGGTCTGACGAAGCAGCTGAGCAAGTAAGTGGCCAGTTGTGCTGTTCACAAAGAAGTAGCCAAGTGGAGCTGTCCAGGGACTTGAGATGCCGACTGCCATGAGGATTATCACTTCTGAGGCCAGCGGAGCTTCATCAGCGTCAAGGACTCCTGCTCCCAAGTCAACAAAGCCTGTCAGGCGCTGGGTCTCTGGGTCCCACTCCTGCTGCTTCTGCAGGGACATGTCCTGTACCATCAGAGCACAGTAGAGGTAGGCCTGTTCCCCTCTCTCCACCTTTTCCTGAAGGCGGAGAAAAATGTTGCTGCTGAAGCCTGCAGCAGCTTCATTATTAGACAGCCAACTGGAAAAAAAGGAAGGATGTGATTAAGAGATGTGATTCTGAGAAAACTGAAGCACCAATCAGAACCTTTTGCCACTTAGGACATGATGGAGCTATAGAGCAGGCTAAGACACAGAGTATAAAGCAAGCAGCCCTACCTTTCTTAATGCGTATTCTGAGTTTCTTTTCTCACACCCTAGTGATGGGAAGCCAAGCAAAAGTACTGACCATGAAGGGAAGTAACAAAGCATGTTCCTGCCTGTCCAATGTATAGATCAGGAGAACACAAAAGAAAAACATTAAACCAAACACAGAACTGCAAATCAGGCTATGCAAAGGGACATCAACACCAGACCGCTCTCCTTCCAAACTGGCTTTCTCCACACTGTACATCTTAATCCAGTCTGAAAGATGTGAAAGCCTAGGCAACGCATGTGGAATGCTACTCTCCTCTCTGCACTTTCCATCCACTACCTCCTGGTGCCCCTTCGAGCAGATTCTTTGGAGGAAGCTGTGAAACCCCCTCAAGGTTGGCATGGACGATGCGTGTACCTGTTGGGCATCCTCCAACTGCACTACAGGAGTTTGAGACTGAAAACACTGTAGGGGGAGAGTTTCTTCAGCTTTTGTTTTGTGTGGTGTTACAACTTCACTCCTTGTTAATGGGTCTGATAGCACCCCAGGTAGTAAATTCTGAGCCTGCATAACCACTTGCAACAGGTTACACAACTGAGTTATGTGATACAGAAATATCGCCCTTCTATAACTTTGAAACAGACAGTTGTCAATATTAACTAACTTCCCAGTCCTTGTGGGGCAAGGTGAGAAAAACCAAAGCTCTAGTCTAACTGCTGTATGCAATCCTTCACTTTCTCATGGTCCCTTCTCGACTTCTCCCTTTTCCAGGAAACAGTCCCAAAGTTTTCCATATATAGTCCTATCGGTTTTGTTTTACTCTACTGCCACTTTTTCCTGCCCATCTCTTCTCACTCAGTTTTGGCTGTTGGTGGAGCACTGCAGGTGCTGCCTTAACACTGTCTCCTACTGCTTCTTTTTAGATGACATTACTCATATTTGCCCTTCCTTCCACTATTTGGCTCATCCCTCCCCTCTCACAAGTCTACACTGCACATCACAGGACAAAAGCATGTGCCAATGTGGTAAAGCATCTTTGCTTTTTTGTATTCATCCTTCCTCCCCAGTGAACAGTAAAACACATAAACCCTATAGCAGCTGAGGCCCTGAAATGTAGCTTTTTTTCACACTGCTACTTGTCTGGGAATACTTAGCAAACTCCATACTTACTCTAAAATTGCTAATGTGAGGAATGTGTTATTCTCGTGCTGTGACCCACATACATGAACACACACCAGCTCTCTGCGATGAGGGATATCAATATTTCTTGGCACTTGTTTCCCACTCTGCTTCTGTTACTACAACAAAGCAGGGAAAAACTACTACCACTAAATGTTTTCAGGACAGATCTGTTACATCTATTTCTACATGAGTACCTGGAAATACATTATGAATGAATGAATGAATGAATGAAAGAAAACTTGCTTTGTCAGGCTGTAAGGATGAGGGAGAGGAAAAATCTTCCGTAGATAATCATAGGCTTTAGTATGGTAGAGGTGGAGGATACAAGCAAACTGCCTCATTTCTGGAGAGTATTCTGCCATCTGCCTCCAGCTGTGCAACTCACAAGGCAAATCTGCTTAAAAAAACCAAGAGGTCAGCTTTAGTGAAGCAAATAAATAGCTGATAACTTCACAGAGGGATGCATAATACAAACACATTGCAGAATACAGGGCAACAGGGCATCCTCTGGAACCACTCAGTCCTGAAGTCTGGTGTGTACAGTTCAGCAATACTATCACTGTGCATCACCTCTTCCTAGGGACAGGCAGTGGCCAGGGAGTGCATGCCCTACCACACTGTCTGAGGCCAAGTCCCTAACACGTCTTTCCTCATTTTTCCTATCTAATGTCATTCCACAGTTTTGAGTAAAGACTGTTTTACATGTGGGTGCTGCTAAAAAATTGACATAATGGGAGATAAGTCATTAATTTATGGTTCACTGCAATTTGAAATCGCTTCTTCAGTTATATTATAACTGTTAACAGAGCTCACTTCTGGACAGCACAAAAGACAACATTTTCATAGTTAAATACACTCTGTTCTTGAGCCATCTGTCAGCTAAATAGTGGCATGATTTGATTTTACAGCCTTGGTTACAGGCCTGACCTGAGCACTGTAGCCAACCTTGAATAATTGAATTTTTTTTCCGGGAGATTTTAATTCTTTGCAGGATTGCTTGTTGCATTCCAGACCTACAAATTGCAAAGCCTTTGTGCTATAGCATTGGACGTAGGAGTCCAACGATCGGGGATTACTGATACCATAAAGTCAAACACATACATAAAACTGGGAAGGGAGTACAGACCCTGAAGCACTCTGCCTTAGCAAACGCCCCCAGCAGTACCTGAAAACTGGGCCTGCAGCAAACTCAGGGTTTCCTCAGAAAGCTGCTGCTTCTCCACCAGCTCCCGAAGGATGTTCGCCACCGTTCTGCGCCGGTGCGGCGGGGTGCATCTCCCGGCCACAGGGAGCTGCTGCTGCGGGGTCTCCGGCG